TTACACAATTGATGTGTGTATGGATTGGGATAACAGTTGTATGAGCCCCTAATAAAATGTTAAAAAAGAAAAAAAAAAAAAAGATTTACTCATGGAGCAGTTCATCTCTGGCCTCCTATAGTTGGAATCGACTAGATTCCAGTTGTTACTTTAGCAATATACATTTCATTTCTTGCTATTGGTGAATAACAAGTTATTGTACGATATCATTGCTAAAGTCTTTCATTTACCCATTTTAAGACGTTTTGGTTACTTCCAGTTTGGGGTAATTCCAGATCCTGCTATGATTAACTAAACTCATCTACCATTTTGCTTTCCCACTGACAGTGAATGAGAGTCTCCATTGCTCCACATCCCCTCCGGGGTTTGGTGTAAGCAAAAGCCTCATACTGCCATCACGTCCAGAAGAACTGCCCATGTGGGTTTCTCAGATTGTAACTCTTTACAGGAATAGAAAACCTCATCTTTCTCTCCAGGAGCACCAAGTGTGGAAACTGCTGACCTTGGGGTTAGTGGCCCAACCCATAAACCACTATGTCACCAGGTCTCTCTAGCATTCGATAGTGTCTTTTCTCTTTTTTCTATTTGAATAAGTGTGTGAGGAACCCTGGTGGTGCTATGGGTTAAGCGTTGGGCTGCTAACCAGAAAGTCACTAGTTCAAACCCACTGGGTGCTTCTTAGGAAAAGGATGAAGCTGTTTGCTTCTGGAGAAGTTTATAGTCTTAGAAACCTTCTGTAGAGTCTCTGTGAGTGGGCATTGACTTTATGATAGTGGTCTAATAAGTGTGTAGTGGTTGGGGTATAATTTTTAAAGTTGGCAATTTAGTTTTACTACCACTGTTTATTACATCTGATTATAGAAGCATTGTGTGTGCTTTCTGATTGTTGCAAAATTTGCATTAGTAAATGATGGATGTTTCTTTTCCTGTGTAAGTAAGTTTTATGTGTTTATATAGAGTTTTACTTATTACATGAAAGTAAAATTATTTCCTCTCTCTGCTTCCTTATTACTAATAACTTATAAGCTACATTCCTTTGGTGTTAAAGCTACATTTCATTGATGTTAATGTCTCACTATTAATTGCTTTTGTGTACTTTTCTCATTTTTCCATTCTTCACAGTCATATTTGCTGTTTATTTGCTTTTATTTCTTTGTTCACAAAGCTTTTTGTTTCTGTCACATTATGTAGTTTTGTACCAATGGCTAGAAGCAGACCGTCATGGCAAGAGCCAAGATGCTGCAAATACGGCTTCAGGTAAAAATAGAATTGAGGTGTTAGAGATCATTATTTTAATTCACCTCAAGCCTGTTGTGAATGCTCCTTATTCCGTTTTGCTTGGACAAACTTACAGGTATTATTTTGCATTTCTATTCTTTGACTTGCACCATAATGTCTGTAAAGACTTCATTTGCTTCAAACCTTGAAAATAGAATTTATTAGTTTTTAAATTTAAGCTCTCTTGGCAGATATGTCCTGCTTTCTTGGGAGGAAAGGTGTCATTGTAGCTTAAATCTAGGAAGAGATTATATGGAAAATATTACTTGGAATTATACCCCTGCATGTAGTTCTACCAGGGACTGTTAGAACTTCATCATTAGTATTTTCACAAGTTTATAATAGTCTTCTTGTAGGTATTTATGAGATGAATTTTAACTTACTTAAAAGACTCAAGTGTAATCCAGATTCCTAGACCGAGTTGTTCTCCACTTAGTTTTAGCAGTGATAGGCTGTGGTGCTTCGGTCGGTCCTAGCATTCCCGTTCTCTGGGAGGGAGACCCAGGCTCGTTCCTGGCCAGTGTGCCTCAGTGCAGCCACCTCCTGTAATGTCAGAGGTGACTTGTGTGTGGCTGTAATGCTGAACAGGTTTCATGGCATTTCAGGTCGAAACGCCTAGCTGTCTATTTCTGAAAATCAGTCAATGAAAATTCTGTGGGGAGAGAAAAATAACCCAGTGGATCACAGTGATCTGATTTATGCATGGGCTAGCCTGACAGGAGCTAACAACAGTCTTAGCAATAAATTCCAAGTTAGGGATTTAGCATATAAAACATGAATTCAGAATGACAAGAATAGGTGGTGTCCCCATCTCATCGCCCCAGAAGGCTTCTCCATAATTCTCTTTCTTGGCTGGTACTAGGAAGATAATCGTGCCCAATCATTTTAAGATCTTAAACAGTAACATCATAATATTTGAATAATTGGTTCTTTCTCTAGTTTCCTTGAAGATAATATTTGCCAAGACAGCTAGCTATATTTATATATTTATGGTGGTATTACGGTGGTAGTTGGTGGTGGTGGTGGTGGTGGTGGAGATGTTTTGTTACCAGATTTATCACTTTGGTGGATTTTGCTTGTGGGTTTTTCGTCTTTTGTTGGTGATGGTGGTGGTGGTGACAGTCTTCCTCTGGAGATGGTCTTCTTTCTCTTACTTCTGGTTGATCTGCTTTGTCTCAAGAGGATGTGGTCCTCTATTTAACCAGAACAGTTACTGACAATGACACTTCACGTATATTCTGATTTATCTCCTGTCCGGTTAATAATTTTATTTTAAATCATACACAGGCAGGAATTCATTCAAAGGTAAGTTGCAAGGAACTGTGTCCTGAGTCATGTGCTGTTTCTTCTGCTCCTTTGTTTATTTACCTTTATGGATGATAAAAACAGGCATCTCAGGGATTTGAGGGTAGGCAAAAGAGAAGGTTTCTTGACAGCTGTATGCAGAAGCTTCAGAAAGTTTGTGAAAAAAATAATCCATTATCTTGTCATTCTATTTTGAACAAGTTTTTCAAGGCCACTTGTTGAGTATCAGAGGATACCCTGCTGCTGTGTAACTAGCTGTGTCAACAGCGTAGACCTCAAGAACCAGGAACACGTTTGTTTTTCCATTCCTGTGTTACTTGAAGTATACTGATGAATAGCCTTAAAGAAAAAAAAAATCCAGCGTAAATCTAAAAAAATCATAGTGTTCACGTGAAAATCTAGTGTTGGGTTATGGATATCATTTCCCTTCCTGGAATCCACAGTGTTCTTCATGTGCAGTTGCATGTTTCTCAATTGACTTTTTGGTGTTTACGTAGCCTCAGAGCATAGTGCAAAACTCAGGTAACTTTGCTGAAGGTCTCCATTGGCAGTTTCTCATGTAGCGATGAGAGCGGTTGAGTCTGTATGATAAAATGGTAGAAAGACAGAAATGAAGTCCTCAGCTAAACAAGGAATCCAAAGAGTAGCCAACAATAGTGTTCTTGTCTCAGCACATGTCTTTAAAGTGTGTGCCCATATTCAGAAAAGTTCCTGTGAGTTTTGATTGCAGTCTCCAGCAAGGTTTTAGAGTATGAAGATTTCTCTCTTCCGCTGTGATCTGTTCAGTTTTGCACTCAGAGGGGTTTTAGTATCTATCTTTTCATAATTTATCCCCCCAAATGGGAAACTGAGTCTCAGTAGATATCAAAATATGACTCATCCATCTTACTAAATTATATTGCTTTATGGTATTTTTATTTATACAGATACTCATTAATGACAGTTATCCCTTCCAAGTGTTTAGCACTTGACATTAGAAAAAATACAGATGACAGATGGTAATTACTCCAGGGTCTTCTAATTCATTCATCTCCACTTTTTGACATTAGGAATTTAAGATCCATGCATTTTAAATTATGAAACTAAGGTTTTTGGAACTAGTAGTGCTTATAGGAGTAAAATTAAGGACAAGTAGAGAATTGAGATGAGCGCTACATAATAATCTTACCATATTCTTATCCATAATAACCTGTCATCTTCCAGAATTTTGACAGGTGATGAATTTGGCTTAAACTAGCTCATTTCTTTTCAAAAGTTAGTGTGTGTTTAATGGGTTCTATTAGATCAGCCAATTCAGCAGCGCTGTTTCTAATTCTGTTAATTCTGTTACTTGCGAAAGCCTGGAGATGTGATCTCATTAATCAGACTTTTATGTAAACTTAAACAGAATTGCTTCTTTTTACCACTGGGCATCAGGTCTAATCGGGATTGTTATTATTTTATTATTGTTTCAAGGTGAATTAAATATATCTATATAGGCTTTTGGGGTTATTTTTTAAATTACTGTACTGTATATAGAAATTGAGGACAATAATTAGGTTACAGCAAGGATTATTCTAGCATGCCATGGTTTTTACTAACATTTATCTAGCTAAGATTTAAAAATTCATATGCTAAGATTTTAAATGTAAATCTTTTAAAGGCCCTTTTTCAGTTGTTCATTAATAAGTTTCTAAAACTCAGAGAGCTAGAAATTGACTCAGATGTCAACCATATTAGTTAATAAAAGTTCAAGGTAGTAAGTTAATTACTAAGTGTATTTGTTGTAGGTGAAAATTTTGACCAGAGCCCTCTGAGAAGAACATTCAAATCCAAAGTGCTGGCCCACTATCCTCAGAATATAGAATGGAATCCTTTTGATCAAGATGCTGTGAACATGGTATGTATTTTTCTTTTCTCTCCAGTCTCTTTTATTGTATTAAGATGATGATATAGACGTTATTTCAAGTCTTCATTATCAATTTTAACTTCGCCCTTTAAGAAATTCTATTCCTGCAATCTGCTATGGTAGTAATGTATTTATAGAGAGACTACATTAACCTAGTGAATTACTAATGGTGATTAAAAGTCTCTTTTAGAGATTTTCAGAAATAAGATGGGTCATAATTTCACACCATTAGGAAAGGCTCCTTCTTAAAAGCTGGGAAATTATTTTGGACCTCCGTCAACTGTGGTTACATTGATGGGAGGACCCATGTGGGCAGGAAGATCCCTCATCAGAAATGACTAGAGGTAAGGTAAGACACTGGGATAAGTGCAGTTCTTTATGAGTTAAAACTTTCTGAGTAATATTTTAAAGATAAAGCTAAAAGACCGTCCGGAAATGAGCGTTTAGTAATATGTTTAAGAAATATACTTTCACATACATGGTTACATGTACCAAGTGAGAATTCTTACTTGTAGTTCATAGCGGTTAAGTAGTTAGACCAGTCTCTGGAGGAGGACATCATTCCATTCATGCTAGAGAAAGTAGAGGGTCAGCGAAAAAGGGGAAGGCCCTCCACAAGATGGGTTGACGCAGTGGCTGCAACCATAGGCTCAGACATAGGAACAGTGGTGAGGATGGCTCAGGCCTGGGCAGAGTTTCGTCCTATTGTGCACGGGGCTGTAGAGTTGGAACCCACTCAGTGGTCCCGAATGATTAAGAAGTTTACCTGAAGTTATGTAAAAATTCACAGTATTTTTACTCTCCAGCATACATTTTTTTCCCAACTACCACATGTTGCTAGCTTGCTATGACAGCACAATTGAGTGACTTCAATGAACAGAAATATAATTTCTTACAGTTTAGGAAGCTAGAAGTTCAAGTTCAGAATGTCAGCTCTAGCGGTAAACTACTTCTGTCGGCTTTGGGTGATACGCTTGTCTTGACTTCCCCAGAGTTCTTCTCAGCATGGCTTAGAGATCTCCACATGGTCTCTGTCTTCCCCTGTTAGAGTAGACCAGCCTCTAACATCCATGGGGGTCTTTCGGAGCCATTGTACGGTTATACTATATAAAGATCATAGGAAAGTCATGAGAGATAGGAGAGAGTGAAATAAAGGAGTCAGACACATTGTATGGTAGCATGCTCATCTCCGGGACAGCCATGATCTCAGCAACCAGGTCCACGCAGAGAGCGGGAGAACGGGGAGGGAGGAGAGAGCTCTCTCTTTATTTCTGACCAGGCCTATATATATATACTTAGGGGCATGATTACAGGTAACCACACACTTGACAGGAAGGGGCTGTACAGTAGGCATATGTATCACAGGAAGGGGATGACTTAGGGGTGTACATGTAATAGGAAGAGGAGGGATTAGGGGTATACATGTGACAAGATGGGCAGACCCTAGACTCAAGATGGCAGCCTAAACTTGGTCATCCTTGAGTGGGCTCAGCCTTGTCCCTGGGCTCTCCTTCAAGGAAACAATCCACTACCTTTATCAGAAGAGTCAAAGGACCCTTTCACAGGGGTCACCCGATTCACAATAGTAGCAAAATTACTGTTAATGAAGTAACAATGAAAATAATTTTATGGTTGGTGGGGGTTGGGGGGGTGTTTCACCACAACATGAGAAACTGTATTAAAGGGTGGAGGCATTAGGAAGGTTGAGAACCACTGATTTAGATGGGTGATAACCCCCAGGGAGAATAACCTCTGACCGGCTTGCATTGACCTCCAGGTGTACAGGCATTTACCATGTGTAGCAAGCAGCGTCTTAGGTTTAACATACATTTGGGGGAGACAACTTGGGGGAAACCCTTTTGCATCCCACATCCCTTTTCCTTTCCCTCTTGTTCGCATGCGTGGTGTGTGTGTGTGTGCGCATGCGTGTGATGAATTGGGGGAATCTATCTTTTTAAGCCATTTCTGTTCACTTGCTTTCTTGCCTAATCCTTTGGTATCTCAAGAGTGGTTGAATTTAAGACACTTAGCTGGTGGCATCATTAACATAAGAAGGAAAACCCTATTCCCAAAGAGGATTGCATTCACAAGGGTTAGCATTTCTGACACATATACCCAGTTCACCAAACCATAGCATTATCGGATTCAGTTTTGTCTTGCACCAGAAGTACAGTGGGCCACATTGGGCCCTTCTTGGTACTTCTGTATCACTGCAGACCTTTCCAATCCGAAGAAAGAGCAACATGGTACATTTGATAAGGACAAACGCTTCGGGCACCTGGCACTTTGATGTTGAGTCTTTGCAGAGCGCAACACAGTTGTTTCCCTGAACTGCTACCCTAAATGAAAATAATCAGAGATCTCATTTTGCTGGAAGTTAGTACTGTGGGTACCTACCATTGTCTTTGTTGAAGACAGCACTATCGATATCATGTCAAACACAGCTATCAATTATTTTTATGAGATGTAAAGGTGCCCTGACAAGTTCCTGATTAAAATAGCCATAAACAGCAATGACAAATATAGTGTATCCACCTTCTTATGCCAGCAAATTAATGGAAAGATACTAAAGAAAAGACTGCAAACCTATCTAAATGAAGCAGTGGGAAATGGCTAAGTATGAGAATGGATTGTAACACTGTTTTCTCAAGTTAGTAAGGCATTTCAAATTGTAGATGATTTGACAAGTCAGAATCATGCCCCCTCCCCAAAGGTTCTTATTAGGTGCTACCTATTTGGATCTAAGCACCACATCTGATATTCTTGCTTGCTTTTAATCATTTAATGACATAATAGTGCGATAGCTGTAATAGGTTTTGGCTCTATCTGCAAAAATTCATCCTTAAGGCAATTATCAGCTCCTTGATCTCTCTTTGATAGTTTTTTACCCCTGGCCTCTGATGTTATTTATGTAAGCAACAAAAGTCCTCTCAGAAGAGTAAACACATGGGCTTGTGTTTTGATGCTTAAGCACCATGAAGCATTTTGTTTATTGCTGCAAACCTGAAAGGATTTGCTGGCACTCCTTGAAAATCTCTGGAAAGCATCCCATTAAACTAGAGTGCATTTGGGTCATAGATTTACTGCCCTTAATTTCCTCTTTGATTTATTAGTAAGTGCATTTGTATGAAGCTGTAATTTATTCCTGCCTAAAGGTATAAAGCTTTGTTCTTTTAGCAAATTCCCACTCAGAGCCTTTGCCTTTTATAATTTCAGAGCAAACAATAAAGTACTTTCAAGAAGGGTCAGTAATTTCACACAGAGATTAAGCACCCAAAGCAATGAACTTTGTTAAATTCTTTTTAAAAAGAGTTATTTCTGTGTGTGCAGTGCACATATAATAGAAAATAAATATAAGTAAGTGGCAGGTCTAGTTATTGTTGAATTAATTACTTTTATGCACTCTTGAATTCTGACTCAGCATTTTTTTGATGAAAATTGAAAAGAGGGTGAAGGGAGACAGTGGTCAGTGTAAGACATGAACAAAAAATTTACAAATTATCAAGGGTTCATGAGGGAGGGGTGGGGGAGGGGGAAAATGAGCTGATATCAAGGGCTCAAGTAGAAAGAAAATGTTTTGAAAATGATGATGGCAACATAGGTACAAATGTGCTTGACACATGGATATATGTATGGGTTGTGATCAGAGTTGTACGAGCCCCCAATAAAATGATTTAAACAAAGAAAGTTGAAATACCAAAACAAAGAATAGTGCAATAGTCATATACCCACCACTCAGAAGTAACATATCTCAGCCTGACGTGTCTGAGCTATACTTTTCCTTTTACATGAAACAAAGCATTGCAAATAAAGCTGAAGTTCTCTGCTTCCCCCATCTTTCAAATCTCTCTAAGTGAATCGGCACTCTGTTTTGTTTTAAACCATTTAGTTGGCATATAATGTACATATCATACAATTCAGTAGTTTAATCACGCAAGAAGAGTTATACAATCATCACCACAGTCAATTTTAGGGTATTTTCTTCATTCTTGTGCTCATCGTTCCAAGTAATAACAAAAACAAAGTAAAACAAATCAAAAACCTCAATTGAAAAGGAAGGAAAAAATATTAAAAACTTGAACAAATTTAAAATAGATCAAAAGAGAGGTCAAATGAAAAGGTGCTAAATTGTAACCTAACTGCATCTGCATTAACCCACTTTCCAAGGCATTCTGTTCTGCTCAGTAGCAGAGCTAGTCACATCCCTGATCTCTGGTCTGAAGGGACTCACCAGGGCTTACGCCACATGGCACACTGGTTTTCATGGCTGTTTATATAAGGTTCTAGTAGATCTTATCCTTAAGAATATATTGGTTCTAGGAATTTTTAGAGAGAAATCATAGTTAATAACTTTTTTTAAAAATCAATTTATTTATTTTTTATTTTTTAAAAAACACAAAGAGAAATGTGTATTTTATTATAAGTATTATAAAAGAATCTATCATTTAAAAAAATCATCACAGTTGCTAAGAAGGACTTCTGTAGCAGGCGTTTTCTAATATTGGCAGTGACAATGGGGAGGGGAAGGGATCTACCATGAGAGATCCAAAGTCACCGCTTTATTCTTCCTTTCTTCTCCTCTTTTCCTTTCTTTTCTCTTGTAAATTCTTCAGTTCAGCCATTACATTTAAAGTCTTTTTTACCCACATAATCACGATGACCATGGCATTGAACAACAGTGGTGTTGAAAATACTACAGAAATGAACATCCCTCTTGAATCAAAATACTGGTATTTTGAAAACAACCTCCAGTTCATTGCAGCCGCTTCATTAATATATTCAGCACAGTAGACCAAAATTACTTTGAGATGAGAAACAAGTGAGCAGCAGGCAGAAGATGTGGAAGGCGACAAGTCCTATTAGCCATGGTTCGGTCCAATCTGTCTGCAGGATCACGGAGGGAATGCTGACAGGAAAGCGCTGACGGAGAACGTGGACGGCATCTTCCCGGAGAAGGCCCGCCCCTTCTTAATCAATTTATTGGGGCTCTT